GGCAATCGAAGAACTTCCGCTCTCCAGTGCAATCACTCGGTAGACACCAGATATGGTGTATTCGATCGGCATCATTGGTACATGATGATGTCTGACCGGCTGACCACAAAGGCACGGAGCGTCCGTATCGGGATGACATGCAGCTATCCTAGCACTCCAGAGAGGGGAGAATGACTTGACCGTGACCTCAGCCTGCAGCCGCAAGGAAGGGCTCCTTCATACATGGAAGCCCATCTCATTCTTTGTTCTTGCGGCCGAACAGGGGACGATCTTCTCTGGAGCATTCCGACTATCCCTCGCCAGCATGACTGCCAGGGTCGGTGCATTGGACGGATGATATTTATGGTTAAACTACCCAATCACAGTGAATAATTCGTGCATCTACTCACAGCTACATCTCAGGCTGAGCGACGCATCTTATACATACTCCATACTCCATAATCATACCATCTACATTATACTTCCACTCCGGTGTACTCCGTACTGAAGAACCAGGTATGGTGGCCGTACGACAACTCAGCAGACAGCCACAATACGCATACGAAAGTTTCAGGGGGCGGGGGGGCCGCCCGATTGCTGGAAAGGGCAAACCCCACTAGCCCGAAATAGCCTTGTGGGGAACCTTTGTCTCCACTCGGGAAACCGTGTCTAACGGCCGTTGGTCAATCGAGGCGCCACCAGTGCGCGCTAAAAAGTGTGCCAAACCGAGTCGAACAGCACAAGTCCAAAATTCAATAATGAAATCAAAGGACGAAGGCTGTCATGCTCCCCCCCTCTCCAAGTCCGCCGTTTCATCGTTGACTGCCAATGAGAATCTCCTCGTCTGGGTTTGACAGTTTGGGGTCATTAAATTTCTGTCGTTCCGTGCGCTCTGACAATGATCACTCAGACACTCACCCGGCGGTGTGCCTCGGCCATCGCACTCGGACTCTCTTTCATCCTCGCCTCTCTCCCCTATCTTACCCAACGGGCCCTAATTTCGAGGTCTCTCCAGTTCCAAAATTACTGAAGGTTTGGAACGGAGCTCAAGCTAAGGAATAGTTTAGTCTAGTTTAAGGAGAGGCTGATGATCATCACTGCCACCGAAGGCTAGTTAGCCTTTCTAGTTGTCTTCCATTGCTATTCTTAGCCTCTGGAGGCCGCTATCCAAAACAGCGCCCGTAGTGTACCACGGTCACGACTTGCCGTCAAGAGTCAAGACAGACACCCTTCCATGACTCGGTGGGCGGTTGGTATGGAGAATCACATAATAACATGGACCGAGACGAGGACGTTGAACATTATTGATGGAGGCCATCATGCATGATCTCATCTCGGTCGCCTTTGCAAGAATAAGGATCAATTACCTACCATCTTGCGTTTGGGATCATCCGTTGATCGTCGAGGATCACAACGGCAACCAGATTCCACCGCCACACAAAGAATGCTTTTTCTGCAATAATCCCTGGTCGCGCGTTGGGGACTATCAGAGCCCTCTCTCTATTCTGGAATGATGAAACAAAAACGGTCGAGTCTGCGGTGTCAATTTATGCTTCTGCCTAAGGTATCTACTCAGCTTCATCCCTTATTTTCCCCTTAGTCAATGAGGCACAGACTACGGAGCGGAATACATACAGTACAGTACGGGACACTAACATATAATTAAACAAAGGCAATTAAAATGAAAATAGCCTCAAATAAACGCGAACGACGTACGGAGTAGGAGTAGTCCACGTTGACAAGCATAACCCCAAGTCTTGTCCTCTACAGGCCGACTCAACCATTCGCCCTGTCCCCTCCGGAGTGGATGCCTCCATGGCGTACCTGGCAGGTTTTAAATTTCCGCATCGCGCTGCCTACAGAACCTATGCATCCAAATAAACCTTATCCACGATGCTTGGCTTGGGTCTATTCCAGACTGTGTATAACTAGTTCGAGATATAAATAATCTACGGAGTATGTTTTCCATATGATGTCTCAACTCTATGTTGACTGCCAACATCAGCATTCCGCCCCGAGTACTCAGCAGCTAGCATCGTAGGGTGCCCGTCACCACTTTCAAGGACACGCCCAAGTTTCCATACTCGCATTGTCCCCTCCTCGCGCCTCAGAACGTTCCAGCGCATGGCAGTCCACACACAAGTCCATACCCCTGTCCGCGTTTTTCCACGCATGTAACCCTTCTTTGTGGCTTGTTTCATTGTACAGTAGCATTTAGATGTCCAGTCACGGGGTGCACATACTCCTACATTTTATCCACTATACATGGACTGCGAGGCAAGGGTTACCGTTCGGAATCTGGCCGCGGCGAAAAAAGAAAAGAAAAGTGGCAATGATGCAATAACGCAATCAATATGTGTGGAATGTAATTTGGACATCATATTGCGGCTTGGTGTTTGCGTGTAGAGAAAGATTCTATAGTGTTGAACCATGATGATGGTTAAGTTTGTGATCCTGATGTTTTTGTATAGTTACGGGGTGTGCACATCGATGATGACATTTCGAGTGCCCACCACGGTGGTCGAATAATAACTAATATAGTACAAATAGATTTCTAGATAGACTGTTAGTTGTTGTAGGGAAAAGGAAGTCTTGGATGGCGCAACACGAAATGAGAGACTAGGCAACGGGCGAGATGCTTGGCAGTCTACACCTCAGGCATCGACGGAGTAAACGCCTGTAGATGGGCCGTGCGAAAGCTCTACTCCATATGTACTCAAAAAGAGGGGATTCAAGTTCGAAACAGCAAGCGTCGAGAATACTGCAGAACACTGCAAAGTATATTTTTTAAGGTGCGGTTCTCGAACCTGTCGATCGTTGGATCTGGAGAATTCGACTACGAGCCCATGGGGATGAAACATATATAATTGTTGACCTTGGAGGGAGGAAACTACTGCATGAAGTGCACTGTATATTCTTCGGAGTAGTTCTCCCTTCCATGGCTGTATGTCAAATAACCAAACCACCTGCTGGTAAGGTGCAGACTAAAATGAAAGGTCTATATATAATCCGAACTATTAATACTGTCATTGAGTGACACCCAGCAAATGACCAAGTCTCAATTCTCAAGTCCGTTGTCGCCAAAGTTCAACTCCATAGTGGCCGAAGCGGGGCGGAAAAGCCCTGATCGGCTGTTGAAACATGAACATTTCCAGCAACCGTAGATGATCCATGGGGTTGAGTCCCTGGGCGTTTCAAATAATAGACATCGTTCTCCTTTCCTTGCGGATCTACGATGCTAATCAGCCACCACTCTAAGGAAAATGGCGCATTGCATGGTCCTGTGCAGCGCGGTGGTGGTGGCCAGTGTCCACAGAGTAAAGATGCCACCTTCTTTGTACACCATCCGGCCAGTCTTTATTCAAGTCGACCCCGAGATCGAGAGTCGATGACGCGCGGCTTACTACTCCGTACAGACCACCGGTTAACCAACTAGTTCATAAAAAATACTCAATCATCGGTAACTAGTCAGTTAATTTCACTAGACTAATCAACTACGGACGGTACAGGTAGAGTACTAGGAAGTAGGAACAGGCCATCACCGGACTCTGGGAGGGTCGCACAGACACTCTCCTAGACATGGCCATACACCACACTCCGAGGAACTCTGCAGCAGAAATCAGACATCGGACTAATAATTCTTACGTTCCTTGAGGGGCTGTCGGCCGTGCCTGAGGCCAATGAGGAGGTGTGGCTGGCCCGTTGATTGGACACCAGGAGAGGGCGTAATCTCCCGGGAGGAACGTGGGCCGGTCTGGACCAGGGGCTGCTTACGCCCACGCACTTCCCTAGGCCTACCGTCCTACAGCAAGGAAAGGATCCCGCAACCATGTCAGGGGCATCGACGGGATGACGGGCGGGATGCCCATTATTATTGCCCTGTCTACGGTGCAAAGTACGTTCCTTACTTACGGTGTAGGTTCTATTCTTCCATGCTGCGTCGCACTCGTACCAGGCACCAGGTGGTTACCACGGAACAGCTTACTATTTGTAGTAGCAAGACCGCCTACCTACTCCGGCCAGTGTTTGGGAAGTACCAAAAAAAGAGGAATGTTTACCACGGATAGAGCGAGGAAGGGATAAACAAACCCAGTCAACATTTTCACCGGTGAATCGACGCGGGCTTCTTGGAGGAGAATTATTGCTTAGAGAGAGTCATCATCAACAACCCAACGGATCGTATTCATAAACATTCGTCCATGCTGACGCCCGTCCGTCCGCCGTGCATGCCGTGGCGATAAGAACGGTCCAAGTGGGCGTAACGGCGTGGCTGCGAAGCGAAAGGCAAAAGGTCTGGCTCGTCGTCCGCTCTCCACCCGCAACCCACCCTCCTTCCATTCCATCCTCTCTCGCTCTCTCTCCCCCGTCCCGTCTGATTCCTCATTTCCTCATTCCTCCATCCTTTCTTTTGATTTCTTCCCTCCATTCCCTTCTCTTCCCCCTCCCTTCATACACCCCCCCATTTATATACCTTGTCCCCGCGGAGGATATTCAGCCACCGAATACTTTCCCCTGAGCCTCGTTGTCACTGCGGTGGTACCTGGCAGCCGCATCGCGTGTACTCCCGACGTCGACTTACCCGACTTCCGTGAAGCAGCCTATCAATGTCCCGGGTTTGACTTGTCCATCGCGGTGACTCGCCAACACGCTTGACTGGAAGGATCCCTAGAGCGACTCTCTCGACATCCCCAGTATCTCGCCATCTCGAAGAACTATGACCGGCCTTGTCTGCGATTACCTCCACAACTTTATCAACACTTTCGTTCACTCGCTTCAATAAAGACCTTTGCTTTTTAGATATCTCATTTTGTATGATCTAGCGATAACGCTCACGACTGGACGTCTGCTCGAGCATCCCACTCTCTTTTGAACCGTCTTCTTTCACGCTCTTTTCGCCGTTGACCGGCCCGTCGCTCTCTCTTTTCTTTGACAGTCCTGTCTTGCTCTCACGACCTTTGATCTTTTTCCACCTCTCTTTACCTCCCTCAACTTCCTATCCTCTGTCATTCACACTATCCATCATGGCTTTCGATTCCATCAACCCGTCTTCCTCCCTTAACGGTATGCTTGTTCGTCCGAAATCACTTTTGGTTGCCCTACTAACGGACCCGCTCCCAAAGTCCTCTCTTCACGATCTTGTGTCAAATGCTCGGATTCCGCGCCCTCATGCCCGACTTGCGATGATGGCTACACCTGTACCATGGTCAGTCAGTCTTGCGACCAGTGTGCCACTACGAAATGTATCCCATCTGCCAGCGACTCGAACTCTGGGGGCAGCTCGTCAGGAGGAGGTAACGATGCGGGTGCCATTGCAGGTGGTGTCATCGGTGGTGTCGCCTTTGTTGCAATCGTTACGTTCCTAGTATGGTGGTTCTTCATTCGCAAGAAGCGTAAGGAGTACGCCCAGCAAGCCGCCGCCGACTGTGAAAAATCATCCACATCGCCATCTGCCAACCCCTCCAGGAAATCGACCCATTCCATCGCCTCTACCGTCCTTACTCGCGCCTCCAACGTCATCCAGATTGCCTACATCCCTGGCGTTACCAACCGATCACCCCCGGAAACCCCGCTTGTACCTCCTGTTCCCCCGCTCCCCGGTGCTCACCCGGACCAGCATTTCTTCATGCCCGGTGACTTGCGCGACTCGTCTTGGTCCGACATGACGACGCAGGAGCGCCAGAGCATTGCACCCAGCCTTCGCAGCAGCGTGGCCACCACGATCTACCGCAACAACGCCATTGTTAGCCCCATGCCTGCGCAGCAAGTCATGCGTACCCGAGCTGCGGTCGTCAGCATCCACAACGGACCTAACGACCCTCAGACGGTTCAGGCGGCACCCGACGCTCCTGCTGTTCCCGCAATCACGCAGGCTCAACTCGCCAAGGCGGGCGTTGCCAACCCCAACGCCAACGCCAACAGCTCGATCGTGGCGCGGACCATGGTCGCCAAACCAGTCATGGTCAGAGGACCCTCGAAAAAGAAGAACGCGAACAAGAACGACGCCAAGTCCCCTGCAGTCCAGACGATCTCTGAGCGGTCAGAGTCGAGCGCCTCTACTTCAAACAAAGCAGCCAACCAATCCACCTCTGGATTCGATGCCAGCTCGTCAGAAGATGAAGACGAAGCTTCTCGACCCGCCCCCAGCAATGCCAAACCTACCGAGACTGCCCAATCTGAACCACAGTCGCGAGCACCGACCGTGATCGAGGATTCGCCCGCCACCAACCAAGGTCCTTTCACGGACCAACTCACAACAGAGGCCGACACGCGACGAACGTCACGAACGTCGTCTCACCTGGAGGCCAACGATGGTACTCGATCCAACCGAAGCAGCAGAGGTCCTCCTCCCGCTCGTGTCGAAAGTCCATTCTCCGACGCGAACGAGGTTAAATAAATAAAGTAAACAAGCAATATACCACTCCCTTTCATTTTTGACATCTTTATATTTTTCATTCCTTTATTTTTATACCTCCCCGGCCCGTTTTCTCTATATACTTTGTGATCGGCGCAAAAAGGAAGCTGCTTAGTCGCGTTGGATCCCGACCGCCTTGATAGAAGCCATGGTTTATTTTGATCTTTTTTCTTTGGGCTTTCACTTCTTTGTATCTATGAAAAATTGTGCTTCTTTTTACTTCGATCTATATAAGGGATGAGGAAAGGTCTGTTGGGTTTTATGCCTGCCCTTTCGACTTTCGTATATCGCTTTATTGTAGCCTGTATCCATGTGCATGTATATATATGCCCCGAACCCTGTCGGGTCCGTCCCTGTTGCGAATCTATCGACGTTAACTCTATTATAAACATGGTTACTATCACAAACAATACCTAGTACGTAATTCAACAAGCTGTGCAAAGAACACATTACTGAAATTCATAGATAGACGAAAAGATAGGTGAATAGATAGGTAGACAACAAAAAAATAAGCAGAACAGTACAATAAAACATGTCATCACCATCCTAACAAAAACATCACATGTACATACACAGGGATCAAGAAAATACAACGGAGTGAGCAAGCACCAAGTACATCATCGCGTCAAGTGTATAATCTCAAGTCGGTGATCTAACTAGCTTAGGTCATGAGATTGTTTTGGTTGTTCTCCTACGGACGCGCGTATTGCACTCTACCGGAACAGGGGTGAATCCAGGACCAGTGCCAATGGTGGAAGAACCAGGACCAGAGAAAAAGGATGAAGATGAAGGAGGAAGCTAATCAAAGATAGAGAATTCAGGGACAGATAGATAGAGAGAGGTATATACAAGCGCAGGAGCCAGAGAGCAGCGAGGATGCAAGATCTAGAATAAATAGATAGGTAGATCGATGAACCGAGAAAGACGCGACACAAGAGAAGAAGATGATGTTATCTATGAATGAGGGTAATCTTCCAGACCCATGCCGTTGCCGATTTTACGAATCAGGGCGCGTTTCAAGAACGCTTCACGCGCGAGACCACGCGTATGTCGCGACCAAGTCTCCACGCCGATGACGCCCTTGACGAGGGCGGACTGGAGAGCATAGATGGCCTGTTGGATACCGCGTTCCTCAGCGACGAGGTCGTAGAGTTGTTTGCCGACGACGGTGGGGGCGACGAGGACTTCGTCGATGGGAGGGAGTCCGGAGGGGGTGGGGTCAGAGCTGGACTGCGCCGGGGCGGTGGACGAGAAGATACGGGTCTGGGCGTCGGCGATGACGGCGTCGGCTCCGTGGAGAGATTGTTGCAGAATGGAGGAGTTGGACTGCAAGGTTGCGTTGAAGTTGCTGAGCGAGGAGATCTCGCCTTGCAGCGTGGCGACGGCGGCATGCAGGGACTGCGATTGCGAAAGAAGGGAGTGAGCGGCGGTCTCGGACTGGGCGACGTTGGTCTGGAGGGTTTCGGCCAGAGTCTTGGACACGGCTTGGAGGAGAGCGTCTTTCTCGGGATTCGGAGGGATCGGGGGCGCCGGGCCGGTGGGTGCAATCGAGGGGAGTTCTAGCTCGAAGGGTGAAGTAAGGAGGTCGGGGGTTTCTTTCTTCGGCTGGGCTGCAGGTTGCGTGACGGGGATGGTTTGGTGGAACGCGCGAGGGGAGGGCTGCGCAGCAGCTGGATGCGGCAGTGGGTGCTGATGCTGTGCGCCTGCTTGCTGATATGTCGCATGATGAGGCGGAGCCTGCTGAGGTGGGATATACGGCGGTTGCTGTTGCGGATGCGCCCTAGGGGGCAAGCTCTGGGATAGAGGACGTGCGGTCATACCATTGCCAAGCTGAGGATGAGCTGGACCTTGTGTATGCGCCGGAATTGGCTGCGCTGCGGGAGCCTGATGTTGAGGATGATAATGGTATGGACTCGCCGGTCCTTCTGATCGCTCGGGGACATACTGCGGGTGGCCACTCCCGGGGCTGCCAACACCCGCGTGCTGGTGAACCGATATTCTTCGGAGATCCTGCTCCTTTGGCGGAAGTGGAGGAATCGGAGAAGGGGTGTTGTTCTGCCATGTCGGAGTGCTTCGCTGCTGCTGCTGCTCGGGACTGACTACTTGGCCCGGTTTTGGGGGAGGTGGAGGAGGTGCCTGAGCTGTTGGCTGGGGAGATAGTACGCTCTGCGTCGTCGGAGGTGCATGCGCTGGAGGTCCAAGTTCGGGGGGAAGAGGAGGACGAGGCGGCGGCGCTTGCACTTGTTGTGGCTGTTGAGGTCGCTGGGGTATCTGCTGTTGCTGCTTATACTGGACGGGCGGCTCCTTGGCGAACACCTCTCGGAGTATTGAGACGAGGTCGACTAGCGATGATCTCTGCGATGATGCGTCAGTGGTCTGGTAACAGCCAGCATGACCCGTCCATGAATTATCACCCACCTCCCATGCCCCGGCCCAATGTGCCAGATAATGATGATAGACTCTGCCTTCCAACGTCACATGCTGACCAACCCTAACCGCCATATCCTTCGTCGGTGTCACGTAAACGATGGGTGGCTCGCGAGGATAGGTATTGGGGACCCATAGTACGACCGGGAATTTGTATACGGTGCCACGAAATGTCACTGGTAGTGTCCCCGAGAGTTGGAGTAAGAGGGCCGAGAAACCGGTCTCGTAGGCTGGAAGTCATCGAGACGCGCAGTTAACACCGGATCCTGTCTGCATCATTTTGCATTACAACACAATGGGAAACTCACTGTACACCTCTGTCCGTGGAAACAAGGACGGATACTGAGCCAGCACGTTGGCGACATCGTAGTATGTTCGGTTGGGGTCTTGATAAGTCTGCCTGGAATCGTAGTGATCCTGGCGAGAGTTAGCATGGATTGAACGGAATCGAATGATTTCTGGTATGAGGTACCCTGATCAGGACACTGTAGAGCCAGTTGAGCGTCCTCTGCGGCACCGCAGCCATGTTGACGGAGCAGGTGCGAGGACAGAGAGCATGGTTGGCTGGGAGTTTGGAGGTGACGAGATCGCGAGGGTCATCGATCGGCTCCCCGCAGTGGTCTTGGCTTCGTCCGGTGGGCCAAGATTCGGGCTGAGAGCTGCGGACTGCCGGGAAGAAAGGAGGTTCGACGAGGAATTGATCGAGCGATGTCAAGATAATCGCTTCCTGCGAGAAAACATCCAGAACACGGAGTAGGCGACTTCAAGGAGCTCTGGACACGAATTGGCGGTGGTTTGGCTGGTCACGCGGGGCTGACTCAGCCGATGTTAGTTAGTTAACGTATTTCCCCACCGAGTCGGCCACACCACCGAGTCGGCCACCTCATTAAAAATCTACGCGTTTTATCGCCC